TGAAGTAAGCATTGAACCTTTTATCGGGTTCTGTGTCTCTTATAAAGTTTTGTGGCCTTTCTCCTGTATTTACAAAATGCTGCGCGTAGTCGAGGAGTAATCTGTCTCTTCCTCTTCTCCCTAGCTCGCTGCTAGTCATCTTTATTATACTTCTTTGCTGCTGCTGCTGCTGCTGCTGCTGCTGCAGTGCCTGCTGCTGCTGCTGTAGCTGCTGCTGCTTCTGCTGCTTCTGGTTGTGCTTCGATTGATGCTTTATGTGCTGAGAACCCATACATGCATTGCTGCTGCTGCTGCTGCTGCTGCTGCTGCTGCTGCTGCTGCTGTGTTTTCCTCCGCCGCGCTTTCGCTTAGAGGGGGGCCCCCCTTGACCTGAAGGCCTCTGGCGGGGCCCCTTACCCTCACGGGGGCCCCCCTGGGGGCCCCCCTGGGGGCCCCCACCACCTGCTGCACCACCTCGCTGCTGCTGCTGCTGCTGCTTCCCTTGCTGCTGCGACCGCTGCTGAAAAGATGAATGCTGCTGCTGCTGCGGTTGCTGCAGTGGCTGCTGCTGCGGCTGCTGCTGCAGCTGTTGCTGTAGCTGCTGCTGCTGCTGCTGCTGCTGCTGCTGTGGCATCTGCTGCATCTGCTGCTGTGGTGCCTGCTGCGGCTGCTGCTGCAGTCGCTGCTGAGCTCTCTGCTGCGGTTGCTGCGATTGCTGCTGTGGCAGCTGCTGCTGCAGTGCTTGTTGCTGCTGCGACTGCTGCTGCTGCGGCTGCTGCTGTTGCTGCTGCTGCTGCTGCTGCTGCTGCTGCTGCTTTTGCTTGATGAGAGGAGGTGGAGCCTTCGGCTTGGCTGGAGGAACAGCAGGGGGTACCCTGGGGACGGCGCGGGGGCGAGCAGGGGGGGGCCCCCCAGGGGGCCCCCCCGGGGGCCCCCCTTGGGGGCCCCCATGGGGGCCCCCTAGAGGTGGGGGTACAGTTGGGAGAGGGGGGCCCCCAGCGTGAGCCGCAGGAGAGGGGGGGGCCCCAGGAGGCCCCTGGGGGGCCCCCGTGGCTTGGGGGGGATTCATACTCGTTACATAGCCCTGTGAGGCCCCCGCCAAGCAAACCCTAAACCCTAAACCCTAAACCCTAAACCCTTTCTGTGGAGCTGCGGCTGCTTCTGAAGGCAAAAAGAGAGTGAAAAACCCTCAGGGGAGAGGGGGCCCCCTAGGGTTTAGCTAGAAGTGCTGGGGGGCCCCCCACGGTAGTAAGAGAGAAGCAGCAGCTGTATAGAGACCGCAGGGCGAGTACAAACCCTAAACCCTAAACCCTAAACCCTAAACCCTAGAAGAGAAAAATAAGAAATAAAAGCATAAAATAAACCTCATTAAATAACTCTGTATTTATTTAATAAAAACAAAAAGCAAAAGAGAAAACCACCAAACAAGTGTATGTACACCCCAGCATGCACTGCAGCAGCTGCTGCAGCCAGACCCTAAACCCTAAACCCTAAACCCTAAACCCTAGACCCTAAACCCTAAACCATTAATTGTTTTTCTTTTGTTTATCTCTGGTGAAATCTATACGTTGGCTCCGCCGCCTTCACTCCCTTCTTCCTAAACCCTAACAAACCCTAAACCCTAACAAACCCTAAACCCTAACAAACCCTAAACCCTAATAAACCCTAAACCCTAAACCCCCAATCCACCCGTTTCTATCTAGGGTTTTTTGTCTTTCTTTTTTTTGGGGGTTTTTGTGGCGTGTGGTGGCAGCACTGTTGCAGGGCCCCTTCATAGACCCTAAACCCTAAACCCTAGCAACAAACCCTATAAAACCCTAAACCCTAACCCCTCTTCTTTTTCCTTATATCTCTCAAACCCTCCAAAACCCTTCCCCTCTCCTTCTCCCCTTTCCCTAAACCCTAAACCCTAAACCCTAGAGAACCCTAAACCCTCTAAACCCTCTAAGAAGACCATTCTCCCCCCCCCCCCCCCCNCCCCCCCCCCCCCGAAACCCTCATAAACCCTGATAAACCCTCATAACCCCTGATAAACCCTCGTAAACCCTCATAAACCCTCATAAACCCTATCATATAACCTATCAAAAGATGCGTCGCGATCGTTCGTGTACTCTGAATGTATCTTCTTTATCGAGAAATGTAAAAGAAAGCCACCTGCGGGAGGTCTTTGGTCTTTATGGAGTTATTCGATCTTGTCAGTTGGCGATCGATAAAAAAGTCGGAATTCCAAAAGGTTATGCTTATGTTGAGTTTGATACACAGAGAGAAGCAGAGAACGCCAGGAGACACTTACATGGAGTAAACCCTAAACCCTCATAAACCCTAAACCCTAAACCCTAGATAACACTGTACACTGTGTAGAATAGAGGGAATTCCAAAAGGTTATGCTTATGTTGAGTTTGATACACAGAGAGAAGCTGAGAACGCCAGGAGACACTTACATGGAGTAAACCCTCATAAACCCTAAACCCTCATAAACCCTAAACCCTCATAAACCCTAAACCCTAAACCCTCATAAACCCTAAACCCTAGATGTCTCTGTACACTATATAATGTAGAGGGAATTCCAAGGGTCGAGTTTGATACACAGAGAGAAGCGGAGAACGCAAGGAGACACTTACACGGAGTAAACCCTAAGCCCTCATAAGCCCTCATAAACCTTAAACCCTCATAAACCCTTATAAACCCTAAACCCTAATTACAAACAGTAGACAACAACACTAAACCCTAGAATAGATAATGGGGATACCCTAAACCCTAATAAACTCTAAACACTAAACCCTAGATAACCCAAAACCTAATGCACACAGAAGTATACAGGAAACACCAAACCCTAAACCCTAAACCCTAAACCCTCAAAGAGCGTAGATATCTCCATGGGGTACACACAAACCACAATCCCTAAACCCTAAACCCTAAACCCTCAAAATGAGACATAAAAAGGAAGCAACCAAAATTGGGGTTCTGTATATCATGCAGCCCCCTCGGGGTAAGAGACAGAGCAATTAAAGTCCTCTAGGGTTTAGGGTTTAGGGTTTAGGGTTTAGGGTTTAGGGTTTGAGGGTGGTTGCAGGGCGTTCTAGACGGGAAGACGCTGCGGGTAGAGCTCTCGTCAAAAGCACACGAACGCCACCAAGGTAAACCCTAAACCCTAAACCCTAAACCCTCAATCCTAAACCCTAAACCCTAAACCCTAATTCTTAGGGAGAGCTGTGGTTTACTGACTGCTGCGGAGAGGGGAAAACGCGGATTTGCACGCTAGATGCTGCTGCTGCTGTTGCTGCTGCTGCTGCTGTTGCTGCTGCTGCTGCTGTTGCTGCTGCTGTTGCTGCTGCTGCTGCTGCTGTTGCTGCTGCAGCGAAGAAGGAGCAGAAGCAGGCAGAGGGCGGAGCAGGGGGAGAAGGCGAGAGCAGTGAGTTGTTTGCTGCTGCTGCTGCTGCTGCTGCTGCTGCTTGGATCTGCTGCTGCTGCTGCAGCCAACTGTTGCTGCAGCTTACAGCTGCTGCTGCTGTTGCTGCTGCTGCTGCTGTTGCTGCTGCTGCTGCTGCTGCTGCTGTAGAGTGTCTCCTTAGCTGTCTCCTTTTTTTGTGTCCTCAGAAAAGAGAGACCGAACCCGCAGCAGAAGCCCCAAGAGGTAAACCCCCAAAAACCCTAAACCCTAAACCCTAAACCCTAAACCCCCACTGGGGCCCCTCACCCGAAGAGGACTCCTGGGGGCCCCCACAGAGGCGGGGGCCCCCAGGGGCCCTCGGTAGTTTCATGGGGGCCCCTGTCAAGGGGAGACACGTTACTTCTCTGTATCAGCAGCAACAACGGCTCACCGCTGCTGCTGCAACTGCTGCTGCTGCTGCTGCTGCTGCTGCTGCTGCTGCTGCAGGGGTGCTTCCCCTGAGAAGCAGAAGGAGAGGAAGGCCAGAAGCCGCTCAGTCAGCCGCAGCTAGGGGCCCCCAATCAGTTGCGCGGGGGGGGCCCCAGGGGCCCCTAGGGCCCCCATGGGGGGCCCCCATGGGGGGGCCCCCAAGGGGTAACACTGTGCTGGAGACGCTTAGGGGGCCCCCGTAGAGACGCCTGGGGGCCCCCTTCATAGGAGCTCAGGGGGCCCCTCTGTGTATGCTTGGGGGCCCCCCTTCCCCTCAGGGATGTGTGAAGGGGGCCCCCTTGGGGGCCCCCCGAGGGCCCCCTGTAGGGGCCCCCATAGGGGCCCCTTGTTTAAGCGTAGGGTACTAGGATGGGTACCGGGTTGTGCGTTGCATACATGCGGCGCAAGGCGAGGGGGCCCCCAAGGCGAGGGGGGCCCCCAAGGCGAGGGGGGCCCCCCCGAGGCATTGAGTACCCTTCTAGGGGGGCCCCCCTACAGCAACAATACCCATATTGATAGGGAGGAGGGGGGCCCCCTGTTTATATTTAGGAAGATGTATTGTTTTTGTTTTGTCTCCAACATATATTAATTACTCTCCCTTTATTTATTTGTCTCCTTTTGTCTCTTCTGTCTCCTTTTGTCTCTTCTGTCTCCTTTCTCTTATTCTGTCTCCTTTATATATACTATTACTTTCTCCCTTTCTATGTATTTATCTGTCTCCTTTTGTCTCCTTCTGTCTCCCTTTGTCTCCATCTATCTATCTATCTATCTATCTATCTATCTATCTATCTATCTATCTCTTTCTGTCTCTTTACTTTACCTGTCTCCTACTGTCTCCTTTCTGTCTCCTTTCTGTCTCCTTTCTGTCTCCTCTACAGCAGTCTCCCCCCCCCTCCCCCCCCCTAATAAATATATATATATATATATATATTATATA